AGTAAAAATGCAAACATAAACAGATTTAGGCACATCATGGTTAAGTTTTGAAAAATCAGACAAAGTGAATTCAAGAATAGTCAGAGGGTATAAAAGGCAATTTATAATAGACTCACAAATATCAAACACGTAGGAATAAATTTAGTGATAGATGTGAAAGATAATTTCACATTTATCATTGAAAATGATAAAATTTTAATGGAAAAAAATGAAAAAAGTAGAACAACTGAGAGATAAAAATAGAGAGCAATTAAATAAATGGAAGTATAATAAATGCTCATGGATTAAAATACTATACTATGCAAAGATACCAATGCTTACCTATGGACACTCACCCATGGATGCAAACATTTCTGTTCACTGTACCAGCAAATTTTGCACGTGCACACAAATACATGAGTTTTATAATTTGCGGGCAATGCAAAGAGCTAATCATAGCTGAAAACAATTTTTAAAAATAATACAGCTAGAAAGATTTATGCTACCTGCTAAGATTTGAATGTGTTCCCTAGAAATACAGATGTGGAAATCTGGTAAGCCAGTGTGACAGTGTAGAGCATAGAGACTTAATCCAATTACAGTATTAAAAAGTTGAGTCTGGCAGATGACTGGATTGAATAAGGTCAACAGAGTGAGGCTGCCATGATTGATACCTGATAGCTTTAAGAGTAGACACACATTGGGACCAGCAGTTGGTGTAATGGCTATGTCACTGGACTCCCATGTAGTTGACTGCAGTTTGAGTTCCAGACCTGGTGGCTTAAACTCACGTCAGGCATGCGTGCGTGAGTGCCCAAAATCCCGAGAGGAGAATGGAGGAGGAGGGATTGCAGGCATGGCCATCCCCCCGTGGGGGGGGAGGAGGCAGTGATTTCCTGCTTTCTGTTTCTCTCTGTCCTTCTGGTGAGTACAAAGAAAAAAAAAAGAGAGTAAACACACATGGGACTGGCAGGTGGCATGATAGTTAAGAGCACTGGACTCCCACATGGCTAACCACAGTTCAAGTTCTGGACCTGGCGGCTTGCTTTCTTACTTGCCCGCTCTCTCTTTCTCTCACTCTGTCCCTCTCTGTCAAGTTAAAATAAATAAATTAAATTAAGTTAAATTAAATTAAAAATTATTTAAAATAAAGAGTACACACAGACACACATACTGTCTAGCTCCATCTCGCCAATGTGATACCCTAACCTACGTCCAAACTCTATGGTTCCCACCAATAAGAAGAGCCATACCAGATTCAGGCTTTTGACCTTGGACCTCCAAACCCAGGAGCTAAATAAACTCTTATTCTTACCACTTTTTTCTTTTTAAAGAAATTTTTGCTATAAGGCACATACACTCGCTGAGAGACAGAGAAATAGAGAGACAGAAAACAAGATATCCCTCCCCCAAGGAGGGATGGCCATGTTCAATTTAACAACAGAAAAGAGGAGTACCAAAATATTTATTATAAAGCTACAGTAGTTAATAAGTGTCGGGATAGCCATAGTGGCACAGCAGTAACACAATGTTCTGCGATGCTAAAGCCACCTGGGAAGATCCCAGGCTCTCACCTTGAGGTCTCTCTGTATACACTGGGCATGCACACATGCCCACAATCCTGGCTGGCTGAGGCTTGGAGTGGGTTGTGGTGTGAAGACCCTGTCTTTCTCTTGGAAGAATGAAAAGAAAGGAGAATGGAAAGGAAAAGGAAGAAAAAAGAGAAAAAAAGAGAGGAAGGGAGAGAAAGACAGAGGAAGATGGCTGTAACTGACACAAAGATTGGAATAGACAAACAGAACAATGAATCTACAATTGTGCTATTGCGTGGGGAATGCTACTGCCAGTACAATGTGTAGCTATTAAAATTACATTTTAAATTAATTTAGAATTAATCAAAATTCAAAATTCAGTTCTTTACACTAGCCACATTTTAAGTACTCAATAGTCATGTGTACCTAATAGCTACTGAACTGAACAGAAAATTTCTATGATGGCAGAAAATTCCATTAAACAGCACTTACCTAGAAAGGTATACAAATGTAATTACTTGATTTATAACAAAGGTGATATAATTCAGTACGAAAAGTTAATCTTTTATGTAAAAGTCAATTTTAAAATAAATAATACATAAATAAATAAATCCTGACTCCCATCTCATATACATAAAGCAATTTCTTTCTTTTTTTTTAGAGAGGTTTTTGCTAAAGGGCGCGTGTGCTCGCCAGACAGACAGAGATAGACAGAGCAACAGAAAGCGAGAAATCACCCCCCAGGGGGGATGGCCACGCCACAATCCCTTCTCCTCCATTCTCCTCTCAGGATCTTGGGTACGCACGCACATGCACCCGGTGTGAGTTTTAAGCCACCGGGTCTGGGATGCGAACTACGGTTGACTACATGGGAGTCCAGTGACATAGCCATTACGCTAACTGCTGATCCCCATAAAGCAATTTCTAATGCACTATAAACCTAATTAATGCAAAATATAAAACAATAAAGCTTTTAGAAAAAAAAACACAGAAATTTCTCTTCATATTATAGTAACATTTTTTAAAATAGGATGCAAAGAATGGTGACCAGAAGATGATTGAAGATGACATTAAAAATCAAGAACTTCTGCTTATCAGAAGACATCATTAAGACAGTGAAAAGGCAAGCCATAGGAGAGAAAATGTGTCTGCAATACATATATCCAACAAAAGACTCATATTTGTAATATAAATCTGACAAAAAACAATAAGAAAAAATTAGGTAAATAACTCAGTAGGAAAATACATAAGACATGAACAGGTATTAACAAAACAGTATGTCCAAATGGCTAATAAGTATATGAAATGGTGTTAAATTTTATGTCATGAGAGAAATGTAAATTAAAACCTCAATATATTTCACTATATACCTCCCAAAATATCAAAAATGAAAATAGATATGTAATATAGAATACTAATGAAGTGTGATACAAGTACAAATTGATACAACTACTTTGAAAAATTTTTAGTAGTGCTTTGAGTTGAACTGTGTCCCCCTCAGATTTACACACTGAAGTCCTAACTCCCAGTACCTCAAAATGTGACCTTATTTAGAAATAAAGTGGTTACAAATTTAGTTGGGATTAGGTCATTAGGGTGTCACCAATATGTCGTCAATATATAAGGTGTCCCTTTAAAAGGGAATATTTGGACCCAAGAATAGAAGGAAGACATGTGAAAAAAAGAAGCATTCTTATTTTTTCTGACTTAAAAGTAGCCATTAAGAAGTCAGGGAGTGGGACCAGCAGTTGGTGTAATGGTTGTGTCACTGGACTCCCATGTAGTTGATCGTGATTTGACAGATTAATGGTCCAAGAAAAAGTGTTTAGAAATTACTAAGATAAGCTAAGAAAAAGGGAGAAGGCATTTTATCTGAGCATTATAAGAAATTCAGTTTTCTTTTGTTATTGCAGTAATTAGGATTATAATATCCACTGCACAGTTGATGAAACTGAAGTTTGAATTGTTTCAGCAGCATGCCCAGCACCACAGAGATAGAAAGTGACTCAGATTTAAACAAATTCTGTCTGACTGTAAAAACAGATATTCTTTTGGGACCAGCAGTTAGTGTAATGGCTATGTCGCTGGACTCCCATGTAGTTGACTGCAGTTCAAGTTCTGGACCCGGTGGTTTAAACTCATGCCGGGAACGTGTGCGTGCATGCCCAAGATCCTGAGAAGAGAATTGAGGAGAAGGGACTGGGGCGTGGCCATCTCCTCTGGGGGGTGATTTCTCGCTTTCTGTCTCTCTGTCTCTCTCTCAAGCGCACGCCCCCTAAAAAAAAAAATCCCCTCAAAAAAAAAAAAAAAAAAAAAGCAGGTGTTCTTTCTACTTTGCTATACTGGAAAGCCCAAAGAAACAAGTATGAAACACCTTGGAAGCTAAGGTCTGTCAAGAGCCAATTTAAAATATCACTGTAACGGAAATCTTTAGGAATTGGAGGATCAGACACTGTGAATATAAAATGGATAGTAGAAATGACATAACACTATAAAGGCAAATTATATCTACAGAAGTGACGGCCAGGTTCAAAAAATGGAGATGTAGGTATAAGATGAAAAGCAGCAAATATATACATTTAATTATCAATTAACACCTGTAAATACGAACACAAACAGGAACAAAACTGTACTACATACAAAAAAAGATGAATTCTCCATGAGGTTACAGTAGTGAAGGAACTCTTTCAAAAATAGCACATACTATATGATTCTATTTATACCAAGTTTTTAAAAAGGCAAAAGAAGCCTGTGGTTCATAAAAACATTAGGTCAATGGTTGATGGTGAGGGTAGAGATTGACTAGGAAAGGAAACGAGGAAAACTTCGGAGATAGTGGGTTTGGTTTATAAAAATACATGCATTTGTCAAGTTTGTACATTTTATTAACTTAACCTCAACAGAAAAAAAAAAAACTATAAACAAACATGAACTCATATGTATTAAAATATTTAGGGGGAAATATAATAAAGTCCATAATTTACTTTGAAATGAATGAAAAAAATAAGATGGGCTGATGTGACAAAAGGCTAGAGGAACGAATAAATGAGTAAGTGCTAAAGCAAGCACGGCAAAATGTTAATGATAGGCGGTGGGTAGTGGGTGACATCCTTTCTTCAAACATTTTTCCAACTTTGTGTTCCATTTAATAATTTTCCTAATAAAATGTTGGGGAGAAAGTATATGATACATGTGACTACGGAATCAGGACAATATTATCTTTAAAAAATATAGAAAACCATATAATGGCCTAATTTGACAGGAGAGTGTTTTTCAAGCTGCCAGATCTGGGACCCAAATATATTTATTTAAGAAATCAGAACTGCATGATGTATTTCAACCTGATGTATAAGACAATCTCAGTAAATGGATGAAGCTCACTTAGTCACAATCAATTCTAATAAATATATATTCATGAAAAGAATAGTTTGCACAGAGCTTAGGTTTTTAGTATACTTGTTTAGCATTCTTAGCACGTAAGTAGTTTACCTGCCATCTCTTCTAAGGGCAAAAATGATGCCATCTTTCTGGAATGGAAGCAGCTTCGCTCTTAGGTTTTCAGGCAAAATTTCCAGCTGTTTGTAAGATTCATTTGTCAAACAAGAAATCTGAGGCGTAAGAGATTTTTTCTTGTTACAGACTCTAGACATGATAATCCTAGAAACAAAACCACAAAAAAAAAAGAGAGAAAGAGGGGTAGGGTAAATAGATATGACTAAGTATACAGAATCATACGTAAGTATTAATATTAAAGTATGTATAAATAGCCTTGATAGATCATGTACATAGATACAACTAATTAAATTATGTTCCCAGAGCAAGCTACTAAAAATTTAACCATTGTGACAAAAAAGCAGTTACTTACTGTCCTGTCTAGGTACTCATCATTCTCTATTTCATTTTGAGCTATAATATAGTCATACCCCTTGCTTAATATATTAACTGTAATACAGAAAAATTATGTATCAACTATATTTTTACAAATTGAACAAAGCTCAAAATGAGAGGGGGCCAGCAGGTGGCATAGTGGTTAAGGGCACTGGACTCCCACATGGCCAACTGTGGTTCGAGTCCCAGACCTGGAGGCTTGCTTTCTCACTTTTTCTCTCTCTCTGTGTCTCTCTCTGAAAATATTAAAATAATAATAAATAAAGTTAAATAAAATAATTCTTTAAAAAACCTTAAAATGAGAATGAATTTGCTATGGAAATGTAAGTCTTTCTGTAATTGGTCCTTTCACATCTGTACGTTGTTTTATCACATGAAACTTCCTCAGAGTGAGACAAATGCTAAGTTGGCTCCAGGGCACAGCGGTAATGCATTGCTCAAGAGAAGCCAATCCCACATGGCAACTGTAGTTTGACTACCTGGCTAGATCGGCCTGTACTCAAGATCAGATGGGCTAGAGAACGGGAGGAGAGGGATAGCAGCATGACCAGAACTTGTGAAAGGGGTTTCTCTCTCCCTCTCATGCACACGCATGCACTCTGTTATGAATACATTTTTTAAAAGGATGGGGCAAACCTGAATTTAAAAAATTGTAATTCAAAGACATTAACTCCAAATTTATAGTACTTAACTTGGCACTACTAAGATTAATTTTTGAATATTATAATTAATGTTTTTAAATCAGCTGTATCCACAGTATAAACTCTGCCTGATTACCACCTTTCTCACTCACTAGGCTTCCACAGATGTCATTTTAATTTTCTATCACATGCAAATTTCATATATCTGTAAACTCTTAGAATTCTGCAAAAAAAAAAAAAAGTCCTATTAAATCACTATACTATAATGCTTCTGAAATGATAATATTTTGTATTTAGATACACTTTACCATCTTTTTAGGCTTTTGCCATAGGGTGCATGTGCTTGTAGGAGAGACACAGAGACAGAGAGGGAAAGTGAGAAATCAGCCCCCAGGGGAATAGCCACACCACAATCCCTTCTCCTCCTTTCTGCCCTCAGGATTTTGGGCACACACACATGTGGGCACACACACATGCATGCCACCTGCTGGCTGGTGTGATTCTTAAGCTATTGTGTCCGGGACTCAAATCCACAGCTACGTGGGAGTCCAGTGCCTTAACCACCATGCCACCTGCTGGCCTGTTATCTTTTTACATATCTCTACAAACCATCTTTTTTAAGAAGATTGCTTTAATAATTACTTGCAGACATATCAAGTCTTAGCTCCCTCCCTACAAAAGAAGTAATCAACATCTCTGCCTACTAAGAATCTGAAGAATTAAACAAGTATTTATTTATTAATAACAAAGGCACTACATTTTTTTTTTGAGAGGTTTTCGCTATAGGGCGCGTGCGCTCGCCAGACAGACAGAGAGAGACAGAGAGACAGAAAGCGAGAAAACACCCCCCAGGGGGGATGGTCATGCTCCAATCCCTTCTCCTCCATTCTCCTCTCGGGATCTTGGGCACGCACGCACACGCGCCCGGCGTGAGTTCTAAGCCACCGGGTCCGGGACGCGAACCGCAGTCGACTACGTGGGAATCCAGTGACATAGCCATTACGCTAACTGCTGGTTCCCCAAAGGCACTACATTTTTCAGGGGGATACTAAAAGTAAATAAGATGATTAATAATACTATAGCACAAACATTAAAAGGAACTCAAGATGGTGCTGGCCACTTTAAGTAAGCTGACCAGGAGAGGACTGTCTTAGGAGGTATTTGGCCTCCAGTCAGCGGCATGTAAAAAGCCTGCCAGCTCAAAATTCAGAGAAGAGTGTTCCAGGCAGAGAGAAAATCAGTGCAAAGCCTTGTGTAGAGAAAGGGCTTGGTGTTGTCAAGAAATAGAAAGGAGGCCAATGTGGCTGAACCAAAGGACTGAATGGTACAAGATCAAACTACTGAGATAAGCAGCAGTCAAATCAAAGGTATTGAAAAGAACTCTGGATTCTATTTTAGAATGAAAGGAAACTAATGGAGCTGTGCTGCCCAATACGCTATCAACCATATGTGATGACTTAATTTTAATTAAAATTAAATCAAATTTAAGATTCAGTTCCTCAGTCACATGAGCCATGTTTCAAGCGTTCAATGGTCACATGGGGCTAGTAGCTACCATCCTGAGCAACACAGAACATTTCCATCCCCACTGAAAGTCCTATTAGACCACATGTCTAAGGGTTTTAAGCATGGTGGTGACAAAATCTGACTTATATTTCAAAAACTCTGAGAGAGGGAAAAACCCTACTAGTGAGGGACAAAGCTACCAATGAAAAGGCAGAGAACGAATGTCCTATGCCAGTCAACAAAGTTCCCGCTGTTTCAGCAGGCAATCTGGTCTGTTCGAATAAGGTCCTCATAAACACCAATGAGTACACACCCCTAGTGCCCTCTCAAAACCACCACCTACAACACTGAGCACAGAACAGAGAAATGTTTCAGATAGTAGAAGGCATGGAAGCAGAAACATGTTATCAGGTTCAAACAGACAAGGTGGTCAAGAGGGTGCTGGACTCCCGCATGACCAGTTTGAGTCCAGGACCTGGTGGCTTGCTTTCTCATTTTCCCTCACTCTTTCTCACTCTGTCCCTCTCTGGTCAAATAAAAAGAAAGAAAGAAGGAAGGAAAGAGAAAAAGTTAAATAATTATTTTTTAAAAAGAAGTATTTATTTAATTTTGTCATTATTATTACTTTTTAATTTTCCATAGGACACATGCATTCATCAGACAGAGAAAGTGAGAAAGCAAGTCACCTGTTCTGGGACTTGAACCATGATTAGCAATGTGGGAGTCCAGCACCTTTAACCACCACACCACCTGCTGACTCCAATAAAGTAATTCTTAAAAAAAAAAAAAAAAAAAAAAAAAAAAAAAAGACAAGAAAAAAAATCATCTTTAGCAGTGAAACTGGAGAGATTTGAGCAATTTAACAGGTAAAGCAAGCAGGATTCCTAATGGAGTACATGTGGAGAATGAGAGAAATGTGGAATCAAGTTGCAAATCTTTATCTGTCTCCATAAAGCACTGTTCAAGAGATGTCAGATCTCACACAGTGAATGACCACAGCTGGACTCCCCAGCCAGGGCAGTTGGAAACATGCCAGGCACCTGCTCAAGTGTCTTGGATCTGAGGAGTTGGAGCAGTGGAAGGTGAGAGTGGTGTGACCAGACCCTGAGGAAAGTGCTCATCTCTCTCTTTCTCTCCTCCCTCATGAGTATGCACACAAATCATAAAAAATAAAAATATCTGGAGTCAGTAGGTAACATGGTGGTTAAGGTTCGGGATCCTAAATGGCCAACAGTGCAGTTCAAATCCCGGAAACTATGACTTTAAAAACATGCTGGGCGTGTGTACCTATGTGCCCAAAATTCCATAAGAATAAAGGACAAGGGATTGTAGTGTGACCATCCCCTCTGGGAGTAATCTCTCACTGTCCCTCTCTCTCTCCAGGAAGCGCACACACATTATGGCAAAAACTAACTAACTAAATATTTTTAAAATTTAAAAAAAGAAAAAGATGTGGATCAAGAGTAAAGAAGTTAGTGATCCAACTGAATAAGATAGCAAAAAAGAAAGATAGCAGAAGAAATAATAGAAAGGAAAAAAAGGTGTTTTTTTTTTTTTTAGGAGTAAAGGATGAGAAATGGAGAAGGGGTTGTGGCATGACCATACCCCATTGAGAGGTGTTTTCTACCTCTT